TCCCAGCTATCTGCTACACCTTCTCTGTAAACTTTTTGACTGGCTGTAACAGGACTCTGTTTGGCAGGCTGTCTGCGGGGCATCTACAGCAGCTAATGTAATCAGCAATGCAATCTGGCTTGAGTGGGCTGCAGGCTGGTACAGCAGTTCTACAGAAATACACCTACACGCAAACACACATGCACACGCTAACGCTAACCAGAGAGCACATGCAAATTTGAACTCGCCGAGTCCACATCAGGAATTTGATCGTATGTGCCTCAGAAGGCCGAGAGTCAAATGAAACGCAGCTAGAGGTGATAATCGTGGTTTCCTGTTCCCGATGTAGACACATGCACACTCGTGAGCTCTTAAACGCATGTAAGCTTAAAATTAGCAGGCGTCTTCACACACAGTGCATATAGTATGTGTGAAAATGTGCGAAACAATCCACCTTTTATTATCTTGAGATACGCTGGCAGTGCAGATTTCAACAAAAATGAAAGAAATACTGGACTAAAATGCTTCTGAAGGAGATGCGGCCAAAAATGCCAGCAGGATATTATTATTATTTCTTGAATTTGGCAACCAGATGAGACTGAATGTGCAAAAGCGAGGAGGAGAGCGAGAAGCATAAGAAGCAGAGCGATCTTGAATGAATAAACCTAATCTTGGTTATTCATGGGTATAGTTGTACTTTATGTTTCATGTCACACTTGAACTCTGTTGAAACATTTAAGAATTTGCATCCAAATGATTAATTACAGTCCTAAAACCCCAACGCTTAACCCAGCAGGTAAGTGTATTACTACTATAAACTGCAATAATTCCACTAATAGTGCCAAAGGTCAGAGCCAGGTATTTGCATTATCTTGCATGAAATTAGTCCAAGTCAATCATAATCATTGATTTATGTACCAATAAATGACCATCTCGGTTCCTTTTTCCTTTTTCTATTTTTAGCCAAGGAAAGCAAAACAAAAAATGAGTACAGTTGTGCTTAGATAACACTTAGATAAGCACAGAAATGATATAACCGTCCAATTCATTTTGTTCCTCACTCAAAACATATTCCCTAACATTTGCACCATTTCCCTGCCAACACTGACCCTGTTTCTAGTGTTAATTTGATAAGTGAATGTCAGTGAAGTTCAGCAGGGACTTGTAATGCACTGACCCCTTTTAGCCAGTTAATTCAGTGATTATGTGTGGCTGCTGTCAACTCCCTGCCATCTCTATTGTTCTAGCTAATGTGCTAATGCATCATTTCAGCCAGGGGATTTACAGCATGCCTTGAAATACAACACAAAATGGGTTCCTACATGACACACACACTGCTGGGTTCTTCTTTTTTCATTATAAACTGCACAGTTGGGCAACTGTTCACTGTCTACAGTCCACTATTTTATAACCTTTTACATAAAGAGCTGAAAATCAATATTAACCATTCCTTTGCTGTTTTATATTTTTGCACAGAATGGTATAAAAACCTATTTTTTGCTCCCCTTTATTCTTCTACATTTAGCATCATTATTATTAAGCTGGTACAAACTGTCCCTGTTGATAACAGAGTTTTGTTCAGTAATGCACAATTAGGGCCACACATCCCTGAACAGCTGCATACTGAACACTGAAGAATCTGCACAAATGGCAGCATCTAACACCATCTAACAGTGTTCATTTTGTGCCACATTTAGTTGTGAATGTAACAGCAAATACATTTGACAGATTATGTATGAAATTATCTCAGCTTAACTACAGCAGCTGGTCAGACATTATTTGCTCTGAAAGGATTATTTTATGCTGTCTGCAAAAACAACAATTGAAAACTGAAATGATTTGTTATTTATAAACGAAAACACTTCATCTTCATGCTGTTTATATTTGGAAATTGGCTAGCCCAGTCATGCAAAAGACAAATAAACACATAAATTATATAGAAACTGGAGATTATCTTGTGATAGGATCACTCTAAAAAGCAAAGAGAGAGAAAAATTGGACAGGAGGCCTAAAGTCAGAAGGGGCATCAACCCTTTTGACCCCTTATTTCAGCTTTCTTTACTCAGAACTCATAAGTAAGACTGTAACTGTCTTCAAACCCAGCATTCATTTTGATCACTACTGCACACCTGGATACAAAGTTTAATAACTCTGTCTTTTATGGTTGTGAATTGTCTGTAGTCAGACAGTTATGTATCTGTCTGGTTGGATATACTGTGTTATTATATACTGTGTCAAACACAGACACAGAGAGAAACGCAGATAGACTGACACAAAATGACACCAGCTGGTGGAAAAAGTAGGAAATCGATTTCGCAGGAGGTCAAAAAACTTTTTTCTTTTTTTTTAAACAGTCCTGTGTTCAAGATGTGTCATCCTGAGTAGGGATAGCAATCCTTGGAATTGTTACTCTGCTTGCATATTAATCCTGCTTATGATTCCACTTACACTTGTACTGCAATCAGCCGATTTCAGTTAGTTAGTGAAGAAAAATAGAGCCACAGTCTAAAGCGTGAAAATTATCAGTGCTTTTATTTTAATAGCAAACACAGACGAGAGTGCAATGCTAAAGTATAAACTGCCTTCAAGGCAGAAACAGCTGCACTATGCTGCTAACACAACTATGACTCTTTGCAATCACCTGCACAGAAAGCAAGCTAATGCTACGCTAACCAGACAGCATGCTAATGCTAAGCTATCCAAGAGCCCAGAGTTATGTGAAAGCTAAGTGAATGCCAACCCCAGCCCAGCAGTCAGACCCTGAACTTCAACAGGGAACAGAAATCAAGCTACAACCTCCATTTCTACCTGCTCATGTTTCTGCTGTAGAATCACTGAACCATCGCATTTAAGTCTCTTTGTGCTGGTTTTTAATTTTGCTCTGTGTTTGGCTTTGTGTTCATACCTAAATACTAAGAGAAAGATCATATGTGTGTTCTCATTACGGTAGGGATTTTTTTTTTTTGCGTAACAACCCCAACACTGATCACAACAAAGAGGGAAAATACCTCCAACATGCACAAACAATTGACCACGCAGCATGCAATTAATTTGCATAACTCTAATGTCTTTGATATGCTGCTTAGAGTTGGTGTTGACTCTCAATAAGGAATTGAATTAGTGATAATCATAATAGATTTGCTATATTTTAGTAAATTTCCATCCTTAACCCTGAGACATTTTTTATGTGTAGAGACAACTTACTGCATGGTGTTGAGAGACATGAAACTTTATCCTAAACTGCTGTGACACTAAAAATGATAAAATCTTGAGCTACTCCTCATTTGTCATGCCTCAGTCTTTTCTCCTGTCTGAATGACTTCTTGGCAGGCACCCTTCCACTGAGACCATTTATGATGAGCCTTCTGTCAACAATAAATGGATCAACTTATGAGCCAGATGCATCTCTCAGGTCCTGTCATGTCTTCTGGACTTTTTCTTATTTCTTAAAAACATGATTTTCAGATACTCAGAGTCTTTATGTCTGACACATCTTCTTTTTAAATGTTTTTTTCATTCAGTTTTATTTAGATAAATCATAAAAAGTTGCCACGAGCCACTTTATACTGTAAGGTAAATATCTTACAATAATTCACTGAAAACTACAACAATCAAACGACCCGCTTTGAGTAAGCACTTGGCGATAGCGGGAGGGAAAAACTCCCTTTTAACAGGAAGAAATCTCCAGCAGAACCAGGCTCAGGGAGGGGCGGTGATCTGCCGTTGAACGGTGGAGGGTGATGGCAGTAAGACGGGACAAACAACACACAGACAAGACTTTTATCCTTCACTTGTCCAGTTTCCTCAGTTTTTTTAAAGACACACTCCATAACATGCCAAGATATGGCAAGTTTTCAGCTAATAGCTCTTTGGGAATCACCTTGTTGGTGCAGTAATACTGTTTCAAGCCTCTCAAACTGTGCTGTCTTTGGCATTTTTCATAGATTCAACAAAATAAATAAAAACAAATTATGTTCTATGCTGACAGGCTGCTAGAGTCAAGACTTTTGCACAGTACTGTATATTTCTCACATAGCCTTGCTATTTTTTCGCCTGCTAACATAATCAAAACAAATGGCTGCAAGAAACAATTTTCTTATTTATGGAACATGTCATCAATATTTTATATATTGCACTAAGGAAATGCTATCAACAATATATCACATCTGTTAATAAGCTTAACAGATGTTTCTTTAAAACCAGATGCATCACCAATAACAGCCAGTGACATGATCATGTAAAGCAGCCTTCAAATGAATAATAGTGAGACATATAATTATAGCGCCATGACCCTGTTCACAAGGAGAACACTCAGATCCTGTCTGTGTGTAATTCTGACTGGACATAAATTAATAAAATCAAGCTTTGAATTTGCTTTGCAGAGACAATTCAGTTACATAGAAAATCCAGCAAACGCAGAGCGAGTCGTGACTGTTTAAAAAAAGTATCAAAACAAGGCCTACGCAGCAGACCACACACCACTGCAGGACTACATATTTGGTTTGGGATTGCCTTCCAAATGTGTCGAAACTGTGAATCGTTTCTTACAGCAGAATGTTAAACAGGAGAAACTTTATCGATCTATGACCCAGAAGCGAGCAGGCTTTTGGCATACTGATAGGCGATAGTCTCAAGGCCAGTTATGTAACTAGAAGTTCGACACAGTGCATCGGAAGCAGGCCGAGTTGAGGCAGAATTAATGAGGATGGTTCAATCCAGGTAATGGCAGCGGGGATAGACAGTGAATGTGTGTGTGTGTGTGAGTGTGTGTGTGTGTGTGTGTGTGTGTGTGCGTGTGTGTGTGTGAAAGTGGGCAATCAGGGATTACTGACAATAAGGGTAAAGTGTTGAGATGGATCCACGCTTACAATTGAACCAGAGCAATAGCGTCTGCAACCATCTATACCCTCATCCCATTTGATGTGGAGTGACACATTAGTATAAATCTGTCGGTTCAGGTACATCCCCTCTGCATTTTAAGCTCATTTCATTAAGAGTCTATGAAGGGTTATGAGGCCTACCTGTGACCTGCAGTTTATCTCCGCTGACCTCACACTTGAGGTAAACACGCCCCCTCCTTTCAGTGTAATCAGTTCCACACAGGCTGGGCACATTCATAACACACTGATTATGGACATTCATATCGCAGGCTGGTGGGACAGAGGAAATATAAGATATCAGAGAAAAGCAAGTTTATACATTATGCATTTGATTCAAATCAATCAAAGGTGACTGAAAAAAGAATGGCAGCTTTCTCAGAATTGACTGACATGGAAAAAGTATTTTTAAAGATAAAGATGCAAAAGACATTTTTTGACTTATCTGTACATATATATATGTATATATATATATATATATACATATATATATGTATACATACATATATACATATGTATACATGTATGTATACATGTATATATGTATGTATATATATATATATATATATACATGTATGTATGTACATGTA